CTATATTTTATTATATGTATATTTAAAATATTTTATAAAATTTTGTAATAAATAAAATCAATTATTTTTATAATATCTGTATATTATCTTTTTGAAATGAAATCTTCATGAAATTTTAATATTACACATACATAATCTGCATAAGAATAGTAATAAAAAATAATAATAAAAAATATTTAAATTCATTTGAAATTTTATATAATAATAAATGCTTCTTAAATAAAAATTTTAAGATTTATCAAATTTTGATGAAATAAAAATTTATTTTAGAAACAATATGAAGTATTAATTATAACACAAATGGTTCAACTATATTAATTAAGTTACAATTTTAATTTGAGATTTATATTTATATATAGGTGACTTAATTATGTTTACATTAATTACTTTGCAGTGCTTGAAATTTTGATAATAATATAATTTCTACTATTAATTTATAAATTAAAAAATTTGTTATTTAAAACATTAAATATTGTAAATATATTATATATATTAAAATAAACTATTTTAAAAAAAATAATTTATGAATAATTATCAAAGCATACAATATTTTATATTTTAGTTTTTGGTTATCAATCAACTGGATTCTGTATTACTATGAGTATAAATTCTTTATCTGGAGCAACCATAATTTCATGTTTCTTACTACGAATACGTAAAAAAGTAAGATCATTTGTTGGATCCAAATCTCGTACTACAGATCGTGCTTTGTCTGACAGTTGACTTATTAATCCTGCATATTGAACTGTGGTAGTGTTATCCAATGTAGATTTGATTGGAATACCTACATAAATTTTTTTTAAGTTTTATATAATAATTTATATAAGATGTCAAAGTACCATATACCTTCTCCATTAACTACAATTGTTCCAACCACTCCTTTATGTGATTGAATGCGTTTCATAGTTTCTTCTACTTCTTGTGCCTGAGAAAAAAAGTTAACCTAAAGTATTTAATATAATTTATATAAAAATACATACAATACATTATTTATAATAAACCCACCATTTTTTAAACTTATAAATTTATATCATATATAATATAATAATAATTATAAAATCTGTAATAATTTATAATGAATTTAATATCAATAAAATATATCACTTGGATTGTACCGTCTATTAGTTATTCATATGTTTCTATCTACATGAAGATGTTTCTTAGCATTAACCGCCATCTATATATATATATATATATATGAAGCGGTAAATTTAAATTAAATCATATATATATGTATATGAAACAATATTAAATGGAAAATCTATTATAATATAGATGAAATTTATAAAATAAAAATATGTAAAAATTTATTTTTAATTAAAAATATTATATTTAGTTTTTGATTACAAATATAATATATAAGTATATATTATCTCAATTTTTGTATTCTTTGATTTCAATAAAATATAAATTATTAACAGTAAAACATTTTGTAAAAGATTATTATTTTCTTTCAGGAATAGTAATTATTTATTTTTTTCGCAATTCTTTTTTAGAAATTTATTTTTAATTATTATATACTTTATTACATATTTAATACAATATATAAATTTTTAAATATATTTAATAAAAAAATTACATAATTAAATTTTATATAAAAAATTAATTTAATAAAATAATTAAGTCAGTTTCTACATATTCAGGTAGATTAAGATTATATGTTTTTTCTAATTTTTTTGGTACAAATCGACCACCTAAGTAATGATATTTTCCTTGAAATTTTTTAGCACACAATTTTGGTGCTGTTAATGATACAAGCATTTCTGGTTTTATTCCACCTTCTGTAGGTGGTCCATCTTCAACATTCCAACCTGATGGTATATCTATGCTACATATTGGAATAATTGTACTTTCTAATAAACGAATAATAGGTATAAATATATCTTTTACAGGTGGTTTAAAACTAAATCCAAATAATGCATCAACTATAAGACCATATTGATGCAATTGTTTTGAAGCAATATATTCTACATCATTTTTTAACAAAGGAATATCATTTTCAATGCATTGATGTAGCAAATTTTCATATAAGATATTATTTGTTCTTTTTGGATAATAAATTTCAGGAAAATATCCAAATTGTTTTAAGTGTCTAGCACAAACAAGTCCATCACCACCATTATTTCCTGGACCACAACAAATCAAAATCTTATATACAGAGTTTTTTAGTGATGGATAAGTACGAGCAATAGCAATAGCACAACTTTGACCAGCAAGTTCCATTAATTGATCAACACTGAATTTATATTTTTCAAATAAATCTTTATCTATATTGATGCTTTCCGTTTGATTCAAGTATTTCATCATAGTGGCATATAATGCTTTTCCAAAAGAGAAAATAAATTTATTATTAGATAAAAAGGGTTTTATATAACCCTTAATATATAATATCATTTATTAATTTTATTACATACAAATATATAAGAAATAATATTATAACCTCTTATAGTATATTAGTTACTTGATTTATTAATATAAATAAATGTTAATCTTATAATATTAATTATTCTTGTTATATTTTTTAATAATTATATATAAAATTATATACGTCAAATTAATTTTATTATATTCTTTAAAATCTTTTCGTAATTTTATAATTCGCAAAACAATGAACTGACTTCAATGTTTTTAAAACTACTTATATATATGACATATATATTTTTTTGTTTCATTAAATATATTATGTAAAATTGAATATAAAAAATTGTTATT